CTGGTACAGATAGGAACTGGGAACACAGGGAATCCAGGGAGGATGATCCCTTCAGGACCAGTGGTGTGAGTGGCGATACTGGGAGGGTAGAGGGAATGTGGGTTGTAAAGGGGGAACCGATTACAAGGATCTACATGTGACCTCCTCCCTAGGGGACAGACAACAGAAAAGTGGGTGAAGGGATACGTCGGACTGGGCAAAATATGACAAAATAATAATTTACAAATTATCAAGGGTTCATGAGGGAGAGGGGAGCGGGGAGGGAGGGGGAAAAATGAGGACCTGATGCTAGGGGTTTAAGTGGAGAGCAAATGTTTTGAGAACGATGCGGGCAATGAATGTACAAATGGGCTTTACACAATTGATGTATGTATGGATTGTGATAAGAGTTATATGAGTCCCTAATAAAACAATTAAAAAAAATAACACACATGGGAAATTAACATGTAACAAATGCAAAAAGACATGTTTTGAAAATGTTCTCTCAGTCATCTAAAACAACTTCAAAACTAGCCATGTTTATAATCTAGTTCGTTTTAATAGTAGGGCTTTGTACAGGTTAGATCCCTTGCTGGAATTTGCCCTTTCCACTCCAGATATAATGAATTGGATACACAGATACTGATTCATTGTATATAGGTTGGGAAGGGCAAATCCTTAGCAAGATGCTAAACCAAAATGATATGTAAGAATCACCCAGAGATTTTGTTAAAATATAGATTCACTCTATCTGGGGCAAATTCTCAGTAGGGGGCTGAACCAGAAAGATGAAGTTAAGTCAGGTTTAATACATGCTTACAAAATATTTTACACTGGAGGCAAAACTCAGAAGACAATCTGCATGACCACAATTATGAGGACATGGATCTAACCACACTATAAAGCACAGCAAATACACTAATGATTCATTGGCCTGGCATGCTTCTCTGTTTTAGGAATCTATTGAGGATGTACTAGAAAGCGTCTATGAAAATGACACTTTCTATTTTTAACATTTATTCACCTGATAGGTGTTAACTTGTCCATCAGCCTACATACAAAGCGTCTGGATTCAAGGCAGGTATGAAGGCCTGGGTGCCGATTAATAAGTAACAGGAGGCTCTGCTTCCAGCTGTCTATCTGACAGTGATAATCTTGCTGACAGACTCCGGGTTTCGGGTAGTCAGATGACTAAGAGGGAGGGTACCTAGCCCCTATTTATCACACATCCTTCTGCCTGGCAACATCAGATACTCTGTAACCCACATTTGTAAGGAAAATGTTTCCATTTCAGAAGGTCTAACACCCCCACCTCCCCCATATATGACTCCTTCAGGGGAAAGCCTGGCGATTCCTGAGTCATGTCAGAGAGAAAAGAGTGAGCAAGGAAGAAGAGACTGGTAACTCAGAGAGGTTTCATGTGTTAACACACACCACTTTCCTCTTCATGGTGCCACTGCCCCTGGGACTGGACCGACCAAGGGATTCTTCCTCAGTTACGGAGTCATCGTTTGATGACTGTGTGGTATTCAGATACTTGAAATGTAGGATGCCAATAATCATCTGTTTATGTTTTTGGAACATTTGTTTTACATATAAGCACTAAAATCAGGCTTGAAAACCCCATCAAGAATTGGGGTTGGGACATTCCCTGCCGGTAGCTGCATAAAATGACAACCTGAACTTAAAATTCATATGGAAACGTGACCTCTCATAGCCAGAACAAATTTGAGATTGAAGTACAAAGTGGTGTCAGCAGACTGCTCAGTGCAACAATTGTGAATCGACCTGACAATACAGTAAACTGAAATTTTAAAAGTAGAAAAATAGAAAAAAAGTTGGAAGATACCACCTTCCCAATTTCCAAACCTAGTACAAAAGCTAAATAACCCAGACAGGATGTGCTGGGAGGGACATGGACAGGCAAAGGTACATCAATGAAATGGAAAGGAGAGTCCGGACCATCCAACCCGGAAAGAACAATTCTTCCAACAAAGGATGAGGGAACAAATGGAGATTCACATGCACAAAAATGGAAGATCCCTTCTTTACATTATGCATAAGAAATTAACTCAAAATGGATCACAGATGTACACGGTAAGAACTGAAGTTATAGAACGACAAGAAAACAAGGAGGAAATTGTGGGGACCTTGGTCTAAGCATGGCCATCTTAGATAGGAAATCAAAAGCACAAGAGACCAAGAAAGATGAAACAGAGTGGACATCATCGAGATGGAAAACGTGAGTGAGTTAAAGGGCACCCACACCAGAGTAAAGACAAAACCACAGAATGAGAGAAAGTACTGAAAGCTCATGTAAGTAACTGATGAGCTTACAGGGAGATTAAGAATTCTTAAAATTCCATAATAAAAAGACAGATAAACCTACTTAAAAATGGGTAAAGGATCTGAACAGACATTTCTCCATTACTTATAAAAAACCAAACAACTCACTGGCATTGAGTCAATTTCAACGCATAAGGACTCTATAAGACAGGGTAAAAAAAAAAGAAAGACAGGGTAGACATGCCGCTGAGATTTTAAATCTTTACAAGGAGGATAGAAAGTGGCCATGGGCACAAGGGAAAACATCCCACACCAGTAAGTATTAAGGAAATGCAAATCAAAATCACAATGAGGTTCACACAATGAGTTTAGGCTTCACCTCTGCTGAGAAGAAAAACTTGCCCTCCAGTCAACTCTGACTCCTAAAGACAGGACAGGGCCCTATGGAAGTCTACTGCTACATCTGTCTGCCCCAGAGCAGGTGGATGAGTCTCAACTTCTGACATTTCTCTTTGTGGTACAGCACTTAACCACTGCACTCCCCGAGTTCCTTCACACCCTCTAGCATGGCTATAATCACACAGAAGTAAAATAACAAAGCATTGTGAGCATGTAACAAATGGGAATCCACACACATCGCTGGAGGTTAAGGTAACAAGTTACAGTCACACTGGCAAACAAGCTGGTAGTTTCTAAAAAGGCTAAATCCAGAGTTACCATAAGAGCCAGCTAGGCCTATAGAGCCAAGAGAAATGAAAGCATCCACCCATCCACACAAAAACTTGCATGTGAGTGGGTGAAGGGAGACGTCGGACAGGGCAAGAGATGACAAAATAACAATTTATAAATTATCAAGGGCTCATGAGGGAGGGGGGAGC